TTCCTGTTAATTTAATCTACAACTCTTTCATCACCTGCTGTTTCATATACATCTTCATTTTCACAATAAACAGCAGATAAAACTGAGTAAGAACAGCAGGAGAAAGAGGAGAGGAGTGGAACATCATCCGAGCTCAGAGCACACACAGTTTCATAGGCAATCAAATAAAGGGGAGCTGGGCAAACACAATATTTCTCAATATTTTGAAAATTGTACTTAGGTTTGGACATATTAAGAATAACATTTTCCGTTGGTGTGCGATTGTTACAAATTGAAAAGTGTGGGAGGAAACCTGAGCACCCGGAGTAAACCCACGCCGACGCACCGAGAAACTGGAAGGGAACACTGAGGCCCTTTGCGGCCTTTCATAGACTTCTGACAGGGGACCTCCAGCACTGTCAAGACGGAACTTCTTCAAATTTGCCACAAACATTCACTAGAACTAAACGGTGAACTGATTAGATTTTGGGGGTTGAAGGTCAAAGATCAAGGGCGTGGTGACCTGACGAAACACAGCTTTGGCCTTGTGAGAGATCTCAGTAACACCTTGAAGGAACGTCTTCAAATTTGGCACAAATGTCCACCTGGACTCAAGGACAAAGTCACGGTGACCTCACAAAACACGCAGCAATTCTGACAAAATTTCACACAAATGGTTAATATTTTATCTGACCGGATAAACAGCCATGTGACCTGAAAGGAGTCTGAGTGGCGGAGGCATACAACTGCCAGGCGGTAACTCTAGTTCACGGTATTACACTGAGGGCTCAAGTGAAGTGGGCTACTATGATGTCAGTCAGTCAGTCAGTCAGTCAGTGTCACAGTTACCGACCACTTTAGGGATGACAGTGTCCTGTGGCTCTTATAGTCACTTACTGAAGAAACGAAAGGGGAAAACAGTGTTTTCAGTGTCTGTGGTACAAAGTTGAATTCTGACACTTTCACTTACTTTGTGGATCAAACTGTTTCTGCTGAGCTGAAACTTTCCTCAGGACGAATGAATAAAAAGAGTCAGAACAACAGCTGCTGTCAGTCCCAGTCCACAGTAGAGGCCGATCCTTCCCTGATTTGCTGTGTATGGTTCTTCAGGTTCTGTCTCAGGTTCAGTCTCAGGTTCAGATCGATCCCTCGCTGCTGCAAAGAGACCAAACAAATCTGTGTTGTTCATGTCAAGAAAAAACATTTCACTAATAAACAAAACAGAACAACAGCAACAGAATAAAGTGTAAAATATTTCCCAGATTTCACTGGAAGCAGTTTAAATGAATCTGTGAAGAAACTTCTGGATCAACTCACCAGAGACGCTGAGTCGACATTTACCAGAGCTCCTCCCATCAGAGGTGAGGACCTGACACCTGTACAGTCCTGAGTCCTCAGTCCTCAGTCTGGACACATGAAGTCTGAGTCGTCCTTCTCTGAGGACAGACTTTCTTATAGAAACAGCTGAGTTCTGTCCAAAAGCTCCATTTATTCCTCCATGTTGTTTTGGTGAGAACGAAAAGTGTCCAACACGTTTTTAAAGTTTAAAAAAGTCTTCAAAATATAGAACGTCAAAAAGTCGCTCCACTTTTTTCAGACTCGCGCTCCAAACAACACAAAGTCAAACAGTCAAACTTCCACAATGAGAGAGAGAGAGAGAGAGAGAGAGAGAGAGAG